CACAAGAGAAAGGTCTGGGAAGCAAGGTGAGACTGGGTCTTTACATTTTTTCCACATGGAAAAAAAGGGTCTTTTAGGGTTTGGATCCATAATGTCTGTCAATGGTTGTGTGCCAAAGGTGAGTATGGTTTTCAGCTGTTGTATTACTGGGAGGTGGGACAATTTGTTAGAGAGGAGAGGCTTTGGAAGAATTAAGACAGGGCAAGGGACCTCTGGATGGGATATTAAAGCCTACCTACCACCACCACCCCACTCCCCTACTGCTCTTTTTGCTATTCTGAGTTGAGAATCTTTATTCGCCCCCGTCCCAGGCCCAGGAGCAAGGGAATGATGTGACCATTAATTGCCCTCTCTGAAACCATGCACCCAAATAAATCTTTTCCTCTTTATGTTTGTTTTCTTGGTTATTTTCTGACAGCCACAGCGAACGTAGGATCACAGAGTTTTTATAAATATGCTTTCTATAAAGAAAAATGATTTTGTCTCCTGAGGCAATAGAATGAAACCGTGATGATGATGGCCCTTTGTGCAGGGGAACAGACAGGTGTTGACACTTTCTCAGCATAGCTCAACTGCGCAGAACACAGAACATTTTACAGCTAAAATAATACAACTTACTGGTGAGGCTGGGGCATAACTCAGTCTGTAAAATGCTTGCCTTGCAACCACAAATACATAGTTTGATCTCTAAAACCCATGTTAAAAAAAAAAAACCAACCAAACAAACAAATAAAAAAAACGCCAGGCAGTGGTGGGGCACACTTTTAATCCCAGCACTCAGGAGGCAGAGGCAGGCAGATCTTTGTGAGTTTGAGGCCAACCTGTTCTACAAGAGCGAGTTCTAGGACAACATCAAAGCTACAGAGGGAAAAAACAACAAAAACAAAAAACAAAAGCAAAAACAAAAACATCCTGGTATAGTAAGATACAGCAGTCATCCTGATGCTGAGGGGGAGGAGCTAGTGGATACCCAGGCTTGCAGCTGGGCCCTAACAACCTCCTGGGGGAGGGGGTGAAAAGACACAACATCAGTGGACACAGACACTGGGAAAATTCGGTGAAAGGGATGCAGCAGACTTGTTTATTTAACAAAGGGGGGAAACTTATATTCTCTCCCAATACCCAGGCATCCTGATCTGTTGACATAGCATGGTTGCCCCTCATTGGCTAGGCACGATCAGGACCTTTGGCAGCACCATGCAGACTCCAGGTTGTCTCCTCTTGTCCTGGTAGGCCTTAATTTCCTACCTATCCACCCTTTTTCATTTATTATATGGGTGATCAGCGGGAGCCAGCGTTCTCTGCTCAGGCCCTGTTGACCCTGCCTCAGGAGGACTCAGCAACTGGACTGTGCCTCTCCTAGATTGGCCTGCTGGCTGAACAAGCTCTTTCCTGTCATTGACTACCAGCCCTCAAAGTGCATTCACTTCTGGAGAGCTGCCAGGGTTGGGGGACTAGGCAGCCTTCTGAATTACAGAAAACCAGTCATGTATAACCTCCTATGGAGAGCTGAGAGAAGGGTGCTTAAGAGCCGCTAACCCCTGAAGAGTTGCCTTAGCTGCTGCCTGCTGGTGTCAGATCTGCTGTAGGAGACATTTAAAAAGAATATGGATTAACAATTCCACCCCACCAATTAATGCATATGTGAGCATCCAGGAAGGATCAAACAACCCTTTCAAAAATGAAGTCAAAGGCTATATAACTTCTGCCCTTAATAAATTAATTTGTTTGGGGGTGGGGGAAATGAAAGCAAGAAAGGGGAGTATATACATTGCCTATGTCTTTGTGCAGAGAGAAAGGAAGATTCTACTATGGAATGATGGTGCTTATAGCTCACACACTCCAATAGTATTAGAGATTTCTGAGAGAAACTGTGGAGTTATCCTTAACTTCAAAAGGATGTCATTAACTTAAAACAAACCTTGAGTCTTCCTCGTATGCTTCACTTCTGATGGGATAAAGTGCTGACCAAGAGCAATGTGGAGAGGAAAGGGTTTATTTCAACCTCCAGGCTATTGCTCATTTTATTCTTTTATTTCCATTGAGGAAAACAAGGCTAAAACACAAGGCTGGAACCCGGAGGTGGGAACCAGAGCAGAGACCACTGAAGAATTCTGCTTCCGGACTTGTTCAGTTTGCCTTCTTGTATTTTGGTTGTGATCCTAGCCTTTAAGAGCTGAGCCTTCTCTCCAGGCCCAGTTTGCTTTCCTAGACAACACAGGACTACCAGCCCAGGGGTGACCCTATCTATAATGGGCTAGCCCTACTGCATCAATGGTTAGCCAATAAAATGTCCCACAGACATGACCACAGGCCAGTCTGATGGAGGCAATTCTTAACTGAGGTTTCCTCTTCTCAGCTGACCCTAGACTGTGTGGTTGACAAAGACTAACCTGCAGATCGGTATTTTGTTTTGTCCTTAAGTTGCAACTGTCTACGGATCATCCTCATTGTCTGCACATCTAAGAACTCATTTTATGTCCTCACTACAAAAAAAAAAAAAGTAAGCAAGCAGTTGGGATATCATCTATGAAAGCTGGGTTTCAATTCCAGTTCTACTCGCGATCCTGAAAGCCTTCGTTTTTATATTTATAATTCTAGAATAATGATATCTGCCATACAAACTTCTCAAGAAGCTCGAATATGAAGTGGTAAGAAAAGCATACCGTATGCTGTGGTTGGGATGTGAAATGCCCCTCATAGGTTTATAAGTGTGGACACAGGCTTCTAGCTAGGAACAGAGCTCGAGGTGGTGCCCAGCTAGAGGAAGCAGGTCACTGGGGAGGACCTAGAGGTTTCTTAGCATAGTCCCACTGCCTGTCTTTTCTTAGATTCCTGGTTGGGGCATATTCTCCCATGACATGCACTGTCTGATGAGATGGTCTACACACTTAAACTACAAAACAAAATGAATCCTTTTTCCCTTAAATGGATTCTTGTCAGTGATTTATGGTCATAGTCACCAAAAAAGTAATGGATACATATGTTATAAATGTTGTGAATGACAAGTTCAAAATCTATCTTATAATTATAGGTTTTTCATTCATTCCTGTATCTTTGTCTATACAGCCAGTTGAATAGTGAGCCCACCCCAAAAGATATGTATATCTGTGACCTTATTTGTAAGTTCTCTGTAAGACTTCCAAGTTTCTTCAGACTTAGACCCTCAATGCAATGACAGATATACTTAGGGAGAAGTAAAGAGAAATTGAGCCACAGTGCATGGGAAGAGGGGCGGCCAGATACACACAGGGACAAAGACTGGAGATAGTTGGGACAAGTTAAGAAACACGTGGTGCCACCAAAGTTGGAAGGGACATAAAGGATTCTCCCCTAAGTTTTAGAGAGTGGCCCTGTTGATCCGTTCTTCTTGGACTGCTGCTGGCCTCTGCAAATGTGACAGAATAAAATCTGTTGTTTTGAGCCACCGGCCATGGCTATAAACAATGAAGAAGGCCTAAAGCTAAGCCATCAGTTAACTAAAACAGCTCACCTTGTAAGACATGTCTAGCCTCCACACCTTCACCCATCAGTCTAAGCCATGGCGGTCCCTCTGATGGTCATCTTTTCACCCTTCCATGTGCTACAGGCACACTGTGATATGGTATGATTCAAAGCTGAAATATAACCTCGTCAGTTCTCGGCTCCTTCCCATCCACGTGGCATCCATTTCATTCTGATTTGATCCACACCATAGACTTTGCCGTGGCCTGTCGGCTGTGTTTGACCTCACTTTCTGCTTTCGCTGCCCCCATTTCTTACTGGTCTCTGGCTTCCTTTGTGACAAAGCACACACACACACACACACACACAGCCCGGCCCACCACTCCCTATATGCTCTTCTTTTTGCCTAGAAAACCACAGCCTGCTTTGGGCTATGTTTCTGCTCAAATCTCATTTCTTACACAAAGCCTTTTCATCCCACACCCCTAAGTGGTGAGCCTAAATTATGGTCCAAGTCATGTTACCCTTGTGTTGTCTTGTTGATTTTCTAGCTCATGGACTTTTTTCCTATTCAAAGGAAAGGTGGTGCACTGAGACCTTGCCTGTCTTGATCATGGCAGCACTGCAGCCATCAATTAATCTCTGCTAAATGAATGAAGAAATCAGCACACCTTATAACTATCGAGGGTGTGAGCCAAAGGGATGGAGATGGTATCTGCTTTGAGCACCGCCCTAAACAAAGCTGTTTAAAGAGTAACCCAGTCAGCCACCTACACACATTCTGAGTGGATAAGGTAAGGAAGGGAACAACCCACGGTAGCTGCGGAGTCGAATATACAGTCGGGGAGCTGCTAAATAGTACTGGTTTTCAGCAAAGCATTGTAGAGTATTTAAAGCTGCCGAGTTCAAGAGCTGCATCGACGTCATACGTATGACTCAGTCCCTGACGGAAATTCCCAACTAAAACGAAAGCTGTAATTCTTCGTATATTGACCACTAGGCAGCTTGAAAGGCCCTTTCACTCATCTTGTTTTATTTGACTTTGTTACCAACCTGAATGAGTGCTGGAAAATATTATTCCCATTTTATAGATGGAAAGAAGAATAGTAGTTCATACAAGGGGATGCTGCAGAGCAAAGGGTCTTTAGATCCAAATTAGGATGTCTGACTGCGAAATTCTTTCTTTTCTTTTCCTTTCTTTTTCTTCTTTTTTTCTTTCTTCCTTTTACACTTTTTTCATTCATTGGTTTCTTTAACATACGTCGTGGGAACTGTTTCAGGTGCCTATAAAATAAGGAAGTGGCTCCCAGATCTAGTTTTTTTTTTTTTTAATAATAATATGCATTACTTAAAAAGAAAATCGGCAAGTAACTTGCCACCAGTACCTCTCTCGGGAGGGCAACCTCTGCGACGTGGAAAGCTTCGCTCCCTGCCTTGCCGGGAGGTGGGGCCGAACGCGGGCGGCCGTGCACCCGGGCCGGTTCTGGGTGGGTGTGCGGCGGCGCGGCGGAGGCCGGCCGAGGGGCGTGGCGGGGCGTGGCGGCGACGTGGCAGCGGGGCGGCGCGGAGGCCATCTTGGCGCGGGACGCGCGCTCCCCTGGTCGTCCTCGTCCTCGCTGAGCCGGATCCCCGCGCCGGACACCCGGATCCCGACCCCGATCCGCGTGTGCAGCTTCCGCATAGGCGCTCGCTCGGAGCCAGGTGAGCGCGGGCCTGGCGGTGACCCGCGCGGAGCGGAGCGGCGGCCACAGACCGCGGGCGAGTCCCAGGTGGGCGGGCCGGCCGGCGGCGGAGTGCGGGGGGCTCCGGGCGGCGGGGACAGGCATCGGGCGAGCCGGGTCCATCCCCCCCGTGTTGCTCCGGCCCCCGATCCCGGTTCCCGGGCCTGCACCTTCGCCCTCGTGCATGGGTGGCCAGGCCCGCGGACCTTCGCCCGGCCAGCCCGGCCTGCAGACGTGGCACAGGCTGCCCACACTGCCCAGGCCACTGGCCCCGGTGGGATGCAGCGTCTGCTCCTGGGATCCCCGCGAGTGTCCAGCGCCGTCCTGCAGGGCCCCTCATCCCGGACCCGCTTCAGCTAGCTTTGCAGGATTGCTTACTTCCTAAATGGCAGGATCTCCCGTCCAAGAGTTGTTGTCACAGTAGTTTATTTGGGAGGCAGCTTTGACGCGATCCTGACACTTTTTGGCACTCCAGTGCTGTGTGAGCACTGCTTGAATCAGTGAGTGTTTAGGGAAGTTTATTTTTGGGCTCCACACAGAGTGACAGACTGCTGACCTCCGGCTGGTGGTATTCGAGGCAAACCCAGGGCATCAATAAGATCAATAGGAATAGCTTCGAATGCTCTGAATCTATCAAAAGTCCACACTCTCTTATATCCTAGCAGTAATCGTGTATTTTCTAAAAGCAGACCTGAGTAGGTGCAAGCAGATTCGAAGAGCAGTTTGATCGATTATAGCCTGAGGACAAATCTTCTAAGCTCTTTCTTTCCATCTCTTTTCCCATAACGTTGATGCATTTGGACTACTTTTGTTCCTCAAAAGCTCTGTCGACTTTTGATGTTTCTGTGTTTTTTATCCTAGCAGGCTTCTTCTTTTTTTTTCTTTATTTAAGAGGATATGTTCATGTTTATGAAGTTTATTTTAGTATCGCATTCAATCATTTCTCTAACAGTAAAGCTTTTAAGGGCCGAAAGAAATTGATCATGTATCTCAGGTGAACTCTTTTGCCCATGCAATTGCTGAGAGATCGGGGTCATCTTTAAATAGGACCTGACTGTGGTAGGGGGTAGATAGCTCCTGCCACAAGAATATGAGTGACAAATTAAGGGATGAAGGAATGGTGGTAGAAAGTGATGCAGTTGGTGAAGGAGCCTTTCTCTCAGGTTATCTGACTTTGTCCAGGTAGGGAATATGTCTAGAGTTAGCCTCTTGGATGCCTTGTTCTTCCTCTCAGCCAGACTTTGCTGGGCAGGTTCTTGTTTGTTCCCACTCCTCCTCAGTTTGATCCTAGCCATCCCCTAGTCTCCCACCTTTGGGGAAAGCTCTGAGAACATCCGCAGTTTAAGCAAACCCAGGGAATCGTCCACAGCATCCCTCCTGGCTCCTCTGCAGTAGTTAGTGCTGTCATCCTGTCCTGCTTCGAAATGCTGGCCCCTGGGTGCCATGGTGTCCTCCCTTCTCCCTGTCATTCTGCTGGTTTTATTTTCTGCACGTTGGCCACATGACTGGAAGAAGGTTTGGTGGTAAGTAGTCGTCGTCCCTTTATCTTGGTATGCCCTTCTTGGGAAAGATAGAGCAGAGCACCGTCTCAGAAACTGTTGGTACATTGATAACACTTGTGGTTTGTGAACTCCAGACCTAGTTGGTGTCTCTACTCAGGTGTTTCAAGGAACTTGACCCTGCTGAGTTAGAGGGGAAGGAAGCACTTTATGATTCCACCCCAAGACACCGTAAATGTCCTTAGCCTCTTGCAGAGCTCTCTGTCCTACCTGTTGACCCCGCCATCTGTCTGATGGATTGTGTAACCCATGCCTCTCCACGCTTCCTTTATGGGTACTCACTGAGTCTTACCCCCTAAGTGTTTCTCAAGTCTGGCTCCTTTCTTATCCCCATCATCACCTTAGTTTAGGCTACAGAGTCTCAGCCTGGCACTATGGATGTCTGGGGACATACGATTCTTATGGGTTGCGAGATGTGCGTTATGGGAATTTGAGCCACCACTTAATATGAGCAGTACCCTGTGACAACCAGAAGTTGTCATGAAAACCCTAGGGAATATGAGATTATGATTATCTGTAGTATAGGATATTGACAGACTTATTTGAACTTTTCTGTACCTCTGAGTGCTCTCTCTGCCCAGTGGTCCAGTATACATATTTCAGCCAAAGGAATCCTTTTTTTAAATTTTTTATCCCCCCCCCCCATGGTATTGGAGGTTGAATTCAGGGCCCTTGCGTTTGCTAGGCAAGCATTTCACCACTGAGCTGTGACCCCGGCCCAAAGGACTGTTCAGGACACAAATAGGGATTGTCAGTGACTGGGATCAGCCTGAGTTTTCCAGTGGGTGGTAGATGGGCTGACATCTGTGAGGTGGAAATGTCATTCATCAAGAATGGAAGTGGACCAGCGTCAACGAATCTCAGGCACTTTTTCTGTGTGCAGAGTGTAAAAAAGGCAAATATTAGGAGTTGCTTGGGGGGTATAATTTTGTTATTTTACCTTTATGAAGGGAGGAAAATGAGAGAACAAGGGAGTGTTTTGTTGCTGGCTCTATGTTTTGAGGAAGGATGTGACGTTTGCAGTGATGATGTGGTTCTGTGTCCTAACTGTGGCGATGACGGGTGTCTGCACATGATTCAGTTTCACAGAACTGTGCACACTTCGTACACACACAGGTAACTAACAGTAGCTGGAGTCCAGGGAAGATGTGCAGAGTGGTTCCTGTGGATTTCTGCACATGGTTGTGACTGAATGCATAGAATACTCTACTATGTTTTTGTCTTTTGGATTCAAAATCTCAGAAGAGTTGGAATAAAAAGACAGATACTTCCTCCAGCTCAAGTGCCTTTCTGTTCATCGGAGGGCCAGCTCCTTACCTCTGTCAGGAAGGCCAGGCGTCTGGGCCCCTGGCTGCCCCTCAGTCTTGTTCTGCCATTTGGGTTTTTGTGACCGTCTTACTCCCTTTTGCCGCACGTAGCGTTTATACCTGCAGTGTGCTCACTCTTCTTCTGGAAGCTTCCCCTTCCTTGTTTAAGTTCTCTCTTTTCTTGGCGTATGGAAGTTTGGTTTATCCTTCAGAACTGAGCTCATCTCTGAGTTGGGATCCTTCTCTAGACTTGCACTAGGAGTCTTTTTTCTGCCCAACACGACTGTGTTCTTGGCGTCAGAGAATCCAGCTTTGGATATAAAATCCAGCCTCGGGGTGTATTGCTGTTGCTGTATTGAATTCATCGTTGGATATTGGTGCTTTTATTTGGTTGTGGCTTGTACGAGTCTCTAAGTTGACCGGATTTCGCTTAACACTATCTTCCCAGAGGCTGCTTCAGCGCTTGGGAAACAACAAACTTTTGCTGAACATCTGTAAAATGAGGAAAAGCATCAAGAGCTGATTTGGCGTTGGTTGTGTACTGTCTGGGTTTCTTTTCCTGTTGTATAAAACACTCTAACAGACAGTGAAAGCCACTTCAGAGAGAAGAGGGCTCATCCGCTTCATAGTTCAAGGGCATAGCCCACCATGGTGAAGACTTCCAGGCGGGAGCTCAAAGGTCACATGACATCCAGAATCAGGATGCCAGGGAGATTGATGAATGAATGCTTACAGCTGCTTGGTAGCATGGTCACACCAGTTGAGAAAAGTTTCTGTTTTGGTTAAGTGATGGCATTCTCCTCCAACTACAGTGACCAGCATTTTAGACTTGTTTTCCTCCTGTGTTCCCTCCCCCGCTTCAGGCCCTTGACAATGGCTGGTCAGAGTGATAGTTAGGACCAGCCTTAGTCCAGTCTCTCACTCACCAGTCTTGGACCATCCCTGGCAGCGGATGCTTTTGATCCCTGCTCTCAGTGAACAGTGAGCGGTCTGTTTTCCTAATCCAGAGACCTCCCTTCCGTGGATTTTCTCAGATTAAATCTGTTCTGCTCTAGATGGTGCCCCCCTGTCCCCCACCCCTAGCAATTCCAACAGGGACCTTATCCATTGACTTCTCATCGGCCAGTGGCTGATTTATCTTTGGGTGAGTTGTGTAGAATTTTCCCATTGGAGACTCCTCCTTTCTGATCCTCAGCCAGATGGACTCTCAGAAATTCCAGCTCAGTGGAGTTTTCCCTCAGATCATATTGTTGGTTCTTCTCCAGAGGATCTGAAGAGATGCCCCAGTCCTCTTGAAGGCGCTCCATTATTAAGTAGGACCCCCCAGGGAAAGGGGTGGTCCTCCTTTTGAAGCCTGCTGATTGTTTGGGAAGATGTCTTGATTCATCTCTCCTTATGACCATGGGCCGGCACTGTTCTAAACCGCCTAGAGGCCTAGAACACTGGTTCTCAACCTGGGGGCCAAACAACCCTCCCTTCTGCAAAGGTCTCCTAAGACCATTGGGTGTATGAGATATTTACACTACTATTCCTAACAGTAGCAAAATTACAGTTACATAGCAACAAAATTTTATGGTTGGGGGTCACCACAGCAAGAGGAACTGTATTAAAGGATTGCAGCATTAGGAAGGTTGAAAACTACTGGCCTAGAGGGTCTGCTATCTCCTAAAAATGTGTGCCTTTTGTTTAGAAAGATGACTCAGTGGTTAAGAGTTCTCACTGCTCTTCCAGAAGATCTAGGTTCGATTCCCAATACCCCTCTGGTGGCTAACAACTGACTGTAATTCCAATTCCAGGGGATCTGATACCCTCTTTCTGGCTTATGTGGGTACCAGCCACCCACATGGTACACAGATATGCAGGCAAACCATTTATAAACATAAAATTAGAGCACAGTGATCTGCCCTGGGACTAAACACTTCTGCTAAACCTACACGTCTTAGCATTTTCTGCAGCATGGCCTGACTGCACTGCCCTTTGACAGCGGCTGCTCCTGGACTGAGTACAACACATTGCACTACCAGATCCAGAGAGACTTAAACCGATGGATTATAGTCCAAAGTTTCCTACATTCCAGCCCTTTATCTTCTTGGCCTCTGCCCTGCTCCCTGCTTATTCCACTCTGCCTCTCAGGTTCTCCTGCATAGACATCATCTGTGGGGCTCACCAAATGAACGCTGAGCGAGAAGGAAAGACAGGCCAGGGGATGAGACTTAGGAAAGTGCAGCCCGTCCTTATTCAGGGAGAAAAGCCTGCAGAGGGGTCTCTGCACGAATCAGAGACCACCACCAGCTTACTCGCTGGGGTAGTTAGAAGGAAGGAGATGGGGTAGGGAGTTGCAAAGCTTCTGACTAAGAATGGTGAGCAGTGATGGAAAGAATGTCAGGTGATCAGTAAATGTCTTTCCTGGGGTCAGCAGGGCAGAGTAGCCAATATTCTATAGAGCAAGTTAATTTACTTCTAGAAATCAAATTACTGTGGTTGCTGGAATTGTTTCCAATCAACCAAGATGAAGTTCACAAATGAGATGACCCTGGGGTTGCTAAACCTCCATTTTCCATTTTTACAGTAGAAGCCCGACCAGCAATGCCACTTACCTGGGCATCTTCCCACTTCAGCAGACACAATCAAGATAATGCCCACAGCCGTACTTAGTGGCTGTAACCCAGGTGATTCAGTGTCTGTCAGGTTGACTAAGGTTTACACTATCATACACTTAAGATGAATCTTAAGATTAGTAACTTTTTTATAGAATCATATCCACCCCAGCCACACACACCTCCTCCAGATAGTGCTGTTCCCCCCCCCCTCCCCTCGTGTGTGTAGGTATGAGATCTACTGCAGGACATAGCCCTGCAGAAAACAAACTCTTCCCCTCACCGCCATCAACTCTCTCAGCCCCTGAGCTCCTCTTCCATCAGTGCTGGGAATTTGACTGGCTTGATTTTGTGCAGGTCTTATGGCCCTGTCCTGTCTATAAGACACCGCTTCATAGCAGCTCAAGCGCTGGCACTTACAATCTTCCCGAGCCTCGGTGGGAGGGGTGTTACTTACCTGGTCCTTTTGGGGCAGAGCACTCCCTTAACTTATTGTGATTTCAGTACTTCTGAGTCTCTCTGTTAACTGCCATCCATTGCAAAAAGACCTTCTCTGATGAGGGCTGAGAGCCGCACAGATTATAGGTATATAACTGAGTGCTTAGGAAGCAATTTGATTTGTGAGATGTTTTCTTATAGTTGGTGTGCATCATCATCTTTTAAGGCATTGCTTTCTTGTGGCTTGTTTTCTACAGTCAGCTTCTAACCCCTGAGCCACACCATCGCATTTCATAAAGCTGCTGTGGACCAGGAGTCTGGAAGCTAACATGTTTATAAAGCTGAACACTTCCTGATTTTTAAAAACATGTTAATAGGCATAGACAACATGGAATGTATTGAGGGAAGAGAGTGCATTTGTAAAGTCAAGCAAATTTAACATTTAAAAAGAAATGTCAGTAGAGTAGGCCGGCCACGTAGAATGTTTGGTGAGGGAAGATGTGGAGTTTCAAAGTTAAATTAGATGTTTGCATTTTAAGCAATTTGATTGAAACTGGCATGTGACTCTTAATGGGACTCAAGTGGCCACACCAGCTTGGCACTTTAGTATTTGAAATATATAGCTTCATTAATGAAATGGCTACCGTAAAATTATTTCCAAGCTGTAAAATATGTGTATGGACTTGTCACAGGATATTTGTGCATTAGTTTCATGCAGTGTTTTTTTAAATTTATTTAAACTTTGTTATAAAAATGGTTGCAAAATAAATTACACACAAAAATGAACAAGACCCAAAGACTATACTAAAGCCTTAATTAATTATTCTTTTATTTTTGATTTTCGAGACGGGGTTTCTCTATAGCTTTTTTGGTTCCTGTCCTGAAACTAGCTCTTCCAGACCAGGCTGGCCTCGAACTCACAGAGATCCGCCTGCCTCTGCCTCCTGAGTGCTGGGGTTAAAGGCGTGCGCCACCACCACCCGGCTTAATTAATTATTCTTTATCAGTAAAAAAATCGGGAGTCAGATATTGGGGTAAGAACTTGAAAGATCTGAGAAGCAGGGGAACAGCCACTAGTCACCTATCTCTTCCCTTCCTTCCTCCAGAAGGGGCCAGAGATCCTCTCTTAGCTCCACTTTACTATGTCCTATCTCCTTATTTGTCTAGTCCTCCAAATCTCAATGGTTAATTTTGGTCACCTAGTGGCTGGCTCCTCCCTCTAACTACAAGCAAGCTTTATTTGTTAGAACACAATCAAAATATCACACAGCACTAAAGAGTCTTTTTTCAGATACCAAAGAACCTATTTTTAAATATTGTATGTACGCACATGTGTGTGTGTGATATGTGTATGGGTACCTTTGGAAGCTAGAAGAGAGGGTCAGATACCCTGAAACTGCCGCACAGGTAGTTGTGAGCTGGCTGATTGGGCACTGGGATCTGAACTCGGGTCCCCTGCAGGAGCACAAGTGTTGTCACCTGATGGGTCCTCTCTCCAGCTCTGAGGAGCTGTGACAAACCCTTCGTCTAGATATTGCTGTATTATAAGGATTACAGACAGATTGCTTCTTTCTGATCATCCTTAATTGTTCTCTAACTACGTGAGCTGCCACCCCTGTGCAAGCTTATCATGTTTTTCTGTCTTTGCAGGCCACAGTAACTGAGGGAAGATGATGGAAGAAAGTGGAATAGAGACCACTCCACCTGGAACCCCTCCCCTGAACCCTGCAGTCCTGGCTGCCACCATGCCCTCCACTGAGGTTCACTTAGGTGGGTGTTGTGCCTAACCTCTGCTGGGTTGGAGAAGCTGGGAAAGACTCTGGTCTCTCTGAATCAGTTAGAAGACTGTTTGTTCCTGCTTCGCTAGTCTTGTCTGTGTTCAAAGAAGTAGCTCTTTAAACTTAAGCACAGCACAGCAATTGTCTTGAACAAGCAAGGAGGCTGACGCTTGCTGCTAGCAGGCTTGCTCTCTGCTCAGTCACTGCAGACCTAGCGGCCTTCAGAGTTCTCGTCTCTGATGTCCTAGGACTTTGTGGGGATTAATCTTTTCGAGGTGTTAATGTCTAGGTTTTTATGTTCAAATCGGGGCTGAAAACTGACCTTCTTGTCTAAGAAACAAAAATGAAAAGGAAGGTCTGCTCTTGGACAGTGCCATCCTTGAGTTACGCTGTTTATCCAGTGGATAAGTGCGGGGCCTGCACTCAGGTACAAGCGTTATGCATTGGAAATTACACCTTTAAAATTAATTATTAAGATTTGGCTTACCACATTAGGAATTTCCCAAGCAGTGAAAGTTTGAAAATGAGATGAAAAGCTTTTTCAGCCTTGTGTGTTTATCCTCTCTGTCTGCTTTTTTTTTTTTTTTTCTAGCTACAACCAGTTCCTTCTCATCTCCCAATGTGTCTGGGATGGAGTCCCTGACACCACATGCCTATTCCACGCCTCAGCCATCCCTGCCCCCTGTGCAGCCATCAGCACCCCCTCCTTTTGTGCCGCTGTCTACAGCTCCGTCGGCTCCCCTGAGTGGCACTTCGGTGCTGCCCTCCGTGTCTCCGTCCCCTGCCATGGCCTTCAGCAGCCCGCCTTTATCCTCCTTCCCACCTGCGACTTCTGCCTCCGGTGTGCTTTTATCTGCTCCACCTTCGGGTCCTCCTATATCAGGATTTTCTGTCGGTACCGCTTACGACATCACAAGGGGCCATGCCGGGAGAGCGCCCCAGACACCGCTGATGCCATCCTTCTCCGCGCCCCCAGTCACAGGTGATCTCTTACTTTCCTCAGTACACAGCTGCCTTTGGTGCTTTATTGTCGTGTGCCAGCTTTGAGTTGTACTGTGCTGTGCTTTGTTTACTAGACAGTGATTGAGGTGCATGGTATAGTACTATTTTAGTTTCTGGGTAGATTTGGGCACCTGCTGCTCTTGGGGCTTTGCTTTCTCGACATTCATGATCTAGGCTCACTCTGACTTCCAGAGTTTCCCAAGCTCATCTTTTTGCCACTTAAATTATTAACAGTAAAAATAGTATAACTTACTGTGTGATTTTTGTGTGGTATAAAAATTGATATATGATTGACATTTGAGGTGTGAGAAAGACTTCTCATATTCCATGCTAATATTTGTTACTTACTGATAGGCTGCAGGTTGTAATCCAAGAGAACCAACTTCCCTAGGGAGTACATTTTATGTAGCCAGTCCCATGTGCCAGAAGTGGTGATACTAGGCCATTTCTTTTCCTAGGCCAACTACATTCCCTCAGTCCCCTTCTTTAGTATGGTTATGGAAACAAATTATCAAGACCTGAAGTAATAAGGGCAGCGGGGCTGCATTCTCAGCACCCCCGGCCGCCTGCCCGGCTAGCTTATGCCCAAAATAATTACACGGACACTGTATTCTTTTAATCACTGCTTGGCCCTTTAGCCCTAGCCCTTACTGGCTAATTCTCACATCCCGATCAACCCATCTCTAATAATCTGTGAGAACCGGTCTTACCGGGAAGATTCTAGCCTAGTCCATCCTGGGTCGGAGCTTCATCCCGGGAGCAGGGCATGGCATCTCTCTCTGAGGCGTCTGCTCCCGAGCGGAGAGCAGTTGAGTCTCTGACCTCACTTCCTCTTCCTCCCAGCATTTTGTTCTGTTTACTCCACCCACAGGGCCAAGCAGTTTCTTTATTGGCCAATGACCTTCCTCCATCATTTCCCCTTTTTCGGTTTAAACAAAAAAAAGGCTTTAACTTTAACATAGCAAAATTACATATAACAAAACAGTTATCAAGTAAAAGTTACAATAATCTTTATCATAACTAAGGAAAACTATAACTATAACTAACTATTCTTAACTCCATCAAAGACTCCAGAAAGATATAATATTACCTAAGTAAACAAGAACTAAGAAACTTCAAACTCTAGAAATGACAGAGACATCTCGCTGCCTGGACAGTCACCCAAAGTTCCTCTGTACTGTTGGGGCATCCATCTTCAGCCTTCAGGCCCATGGTATCCAGCAGACATTTCCATAAAGCAGGAAAATTTAAAGTCAGTTCAGTCACTATCTGTTTTGTCCTGCAGAATGTCTCGCAGACTCTTTCAAAATGAATCAGGAACCCCGAAAGATCATCTCACCTTAGGCAAGTTCAGTAGTCCTCTCTCTGCAGGTTCTCTGTGTCCAGTTTATGCAATAGTCCAGGCAAGAGCAGTTTCTTGCCCAAATGGCTATCAAACTCCATAAGGTGCCTCTTCGATGCCCATCTTCCTCTTGAAGTACATTGGTGCTGCCAGGAGCAGAGTGTCTCATTGTCATGAAAAGTCCTCAGTTATTAAAACATTAAATGTCCTATTCTGTAATCTTTGAAAGACATGAAGAATGTCTATCTAAAATATATCTCTATATATCTAGAAAATCTAACTAACATGACTACAAGCTTTACTATTATCAATGATTATCCATTAACAACCTATATTTCTTAATTATACAGTACATATTTAAATGAACTACACAATCACAATACCTTAATCAAAATCAGAAACACTTATACATATAACAAAATTGACCTTAAATCTCTATCAATAAAGCAAAATCTATACTAATGCAAATTATTCATACCTATATCATATCCCCCTTTAAATGTAAAAGAACATTTATAAACATTTTTTGGGAATATGGGCGCAGTTATTTCTCTCCAAACTGCTTCCTGCTGAATGGGGGCGTCGTTAATTAGGTCTTTCATGGTATAACCTGTGTGCTAGTTCCATCTCAGTTGGCAGTTGAGCGAAGCAATTTTTTGAAGGCGTTCACACCAACCCTTCAGGAGGGCGTGGTCCATCATACCAAATCGGAATAGAAGAAATGAACAGTGTCTCATCCTCTGTGAAAACAAAATAAGAAACTCCTTTCCAAAGTATCATATCCTTAGATCCAAATTGAAAATATCTATGTTGGATTAGTTCAGCAGTATTTATAAATAAATATCTTTTAGCAGCTGTTGCTCCTTCCTCAGCATTCAAATAATTCAAAGAGAGCATAATAGCATACAGTATCAAGATTCTCTGTGTATTTTCCATCTTTGTTCGTTTTATTTTAACCTCTATTTTATTTTTACTTTTAACTCTTTGCTTTTTGAGACAGGTTCTCTGTATCTTTGACCTGAAGTAACTCTGTAGACCAGGCTGTCTTTGAACTCTCAGAGATCCGCCTGTCTCTGCCTCCCAGGCATTTGGGATTAAAGGTGTACACTACTACACCTTGAACTCACAGAGATCTGTTTGTCTCTGCCTTCTAGGCAGTGGGATTAAAGGCGTGTGCTATCACACACAACAACTCTCTTCCTTTTTTTTTTTTTTGTTACTATAAGAACTTTAAATTTTAGTCTGCATATATTTTTAACACACTTCAAACCATTCAGAAATTTTCTCTGTCTTTGAATCTCTCTATACTGTATATCTCTCTTTTTTTGACCACATGAGTCTTTAATTTACCAAGCAATGTCAGTAGGATTAAAGGCGTGGCTTTGCCAGCTAGATCCAGTCCATTCCTTAGCTTTCCAGCCTCATGGCTGAGGTACTGGCTGTAGCCATGTTTACTGGATGGCATTTCAAGGTCCCTGCCAGCAAGTGAGCTACAACAGACAACACTCAAGTCCTCTCTCGGTAGCCGGCCCTCCTGCCTCAAACAGTCAGAGTTTGCCCTGGCAGGATGGCCCAGAAAGCCGGCATTTTTAAACGGCGCAGCTTTTTTCCTGCTACGGCTGAAAACCGAAAAGCATGTGTTCAGCTTTTCGTCAACACCGTTTAAGTGTTTCGTGGCAGGACCTCTTAATGAGCTGCAGGCTTTGCAGCTAAAGCTGAGTCAGGAAGCCTCTCTTAGATGAAAGCGCATGCTTGCCTCTAACAAGCAGAGCAGGCCCGAGAACACAGCGAGTCTAGTTGCCATCAAACAAATCTTAGCACTTTACTCCAAATGCTCTATTCAAAAGCTCTGTCTCCTGCAGGAGCCAGACAGAGATCACAATGGCGGCACAGCCCCAGGAAGTCGCGCTTTAAAATGACACAGCCTTTTTTCTGCTACTGTTGCTGAATCAGGAAATCTCTCTACAGCATGCCACCAACAAACAGCAAAAATCTGTGTTAAACTCTCCTTCCCTTATTTTTAAGCCTTCTCAGGTTTTTTAAGTGGGTTTAGTTGTTCACACATCTGGACGCCAAATGTAGCACGTTGGGCGCCATATGAAGTAATAAGGGCAGCGGGGCTGCATTCTCAGCACCCCCGGCCGCCTGCCCGGCTAGCTTATGCCCAAAATAATTACACGGACACTGTATTCTTTTAATCACTGCTTGGCCCTTTAGCCCTAGCCCTTACTGGCTAATTCTCACATCCCGATCAACCCATCTCTAATAATCTGTGAGAACCGGTCTTACCGGGAAGATTCTAGCCTAGTCCATCCTGGGTCGGAGCTTCATCCCGGGAGCAGGGCATGGCATCTCTCTCTGAGGCGTCTGCTCCCGAGCGGAGAGCAGTTGAGTCTCTGACCTCACTTCCTCTTCCTCCCAGCATTTTGTTCTGTTTACTCCACCCACAGGGCCAAGCAGTTTCTTTATTGGCCAATGACCTTCCTCCATCAAAGACCCAATCTTTGTTGTCTCCTGTTCATGATTTTAGGGTAAGGAGCACTTTAGCTTTGATTATTTAGTATCCTAATTGACCTATCTATCTTTCCAAATAAAAATTTATTACGGAGCATAGACATTACATGTTTACCTGTGTTTACATGTGTTTTAAAAAGATTTATTTATTGTGTGTGTGTGTGTGTGTGTGTGTGAGAGAGTGTATGTATGACCATCATATGCGCACATGCATGCAGACAGTCTAGGAGGCCAGGAAGTTGTTTTATCGGCTACCACTGGAGTTACAGATTGTTGTGAAGTCATCTAATATGGCTGTTGAACCTGGGTCCTCTGCAGGAGCAGCCAGTGCTATCAGCTGCTGGACTTTCTCTCCAGCCCCAATGGGTCCAAGTTTTCCTTTGGAAGTATATGGAGTATGTATGGTGATTGTTGATGTTTTTTTTTTAAATGATGGGCTGAGTACTCAATTATTTTTATGGATTAAGGAGATTAGAAGTCCACCTGTCATCCAGATGCTGAATAGGACAAACAGGAACATGCACACACAGACACTGAGTGTGTGTATGTGTGCTTGTATTTGTTGTTTTTCAGGACACTTGGTATAAACCTGTGTGAAGGAGAAAATACCTCTTGAGGGATTTTTTGCATCTTGTTTATAGAGGTCTGAGTTAATAACTTCATCTTTAGGTGCTTCAGTAGTTCTGTGGGTGGATTTGTCTTGAGCTTCTCATATGATACATCTTTTTATAGGAAAACATTTGTGGAATAAATGACCCAACTAAATGTTTTGCCATTGACTAGGTATTCTGCCAGCCCCCATTACTCAGCAAGCCAGTATGACATCTCTGGCACCAGGACCTGGAACCACATCAGCCATTACTTTCCCCGAGGAGCAGGAAGATCCTAGAATTATTAGAGGCCAGGATGAGGCACCTGCCGGTGGGATCTGGGGCTTTATCAAGGTAAGGGTGTTTGTCTTTCAAATCACGGTTCAGTTGTGAAGCTGACAGGGTATCCAGTAGAGAAAGGCAGTGTAGGGTAGGAAGGCAGTGCTCTGAGAACACAGTATGGTGTAAGGGAAAACAAGCCCCTTATGGCCAGATTTTTGTAGTTGATGCTTATCTTTTGTCTATGTGTGTCTACCCATGTACTCATTCTCTTAATAGAATCCAGATGGATTAGTGGTGTGGGCTTTGTGTTCTTTGTCTTTTCTAGAAGACTTCATTAATGTCCTCCTAGCTGTAAAGTTGCCTGTCTGTCTTTGTTTCTTGTGTATTTGGGGTCTGCATATGTTTGTATGTATGGACAGATGTGCACAGGTGTGTGTGTGTGTGTGTGTGTGTGTGTGTGTGTGTGTCACTGAATTTGGAATTTTTCCATGCACCTTGCCAGTGATCCTGTCGTCTGTGCTCCGTCCAGAGCGAGGGCTCTCAGACATGTGCTGTAGCGCTCTGCTTCTTACACGGTGCTGGGTTCTGCAAAATCATGTTTTATTTTATAAATCTGTTATCACTGTTATCTGGTTGTAAGTTTTTAAGTCATTTTACTCTCTTTAATTGAGAAAAATGTGTAAACATGTACATTTTTTGTTGTTTTGGGGGTAGTGTAGACTGAACCTGGGGCCTTACACACACTGGTAAGCACTTCATTACTAACCTGATCCCCCGCTCTCTTTTTTACTCTCAGTCTTAGAAAGGCTCACTTAGTATCCCAGGCTGGCCTAAAGCTTGCAGTCCTCCTGCCTCATTCTGGCTTGTAACAGGATCACAGGCCTGCACCCTTAGGCCTGATTAACATGATGCAGCTGCTGAGCCATACGGTGGTCCCTTCTGATTCTAATTCTTAGAAATAAAACGACTTAGCACTCTTGTATGTACATCTTGCTGGGCATCTCTGACATCATTAGTTCCTGATGAAAGCCCTGTGATGCCCTAGAACTTCCTGCATGTTGGCTTGCAGCAGCCACACCAGCACATGTTGTTCCGTCATTGCTCACACACCGCAAAGGATGTTAATTTGAAATATTGTTTTTTTTTCTGATTCAATAGACAAAAACATTTGAAACCTTTTTTTTTGTGCCTGAGTACGTGTGCGTTAGAGAGAGAGAGAGAGAGAAAGAGAGAGAGAGAGAGAGAGAGAGAGAGAGAGAGGAGTCCTTGGGTTGAAACACAGTGGCTTATGAGTGATGTCTACCATATATATTGAGGTCCACTTTCTTGCTGTATCCAGAGCCTGTGGTTTGAACTGGCCTGGCTTGCCAGCTTGCTCCAACTCTCCATCCTGAGCATTGGGATTACGTATGGCCACCACACCCATTTGTGTGGGTTCTGGGGATCCCAACTCTGGTCCTTACGCTATGCAACTGTGTTACTTTATAAGCCAAACTTCCAACCTTGAAACCATGTTTTAATTTTTCATTTCTTTGCTATTAATTTTGGCCTTTTTTTTTCTCCATGAAATTTTGTTGTCTGTATTCTCTGTTCATCTTTACCCACTTTGAAGTTGGGAGGCTTGCATCTCTAAGTGAGTTTGTTAAGAACTCTGGTTAAAGCAATGCTATTTTAAGATGTACACGTTATGGCCTTTTCCATTTTAATCTGCATTTTAATTTTATTATGCTTTTTTCTCACAAAAGTGCTTGTGTTGAGAAGTCATTTCTGTGCATCTCTTTCAGTTCTGTGTGTGGAAAGAATACCTTTGCATTCCATCTAGGTTTTTTAACCACTTCAGTTCTAATCCTGAGCAGCTCCATGTAGCTGATATGTGTCAGTACACCGTGTACAGCAGAGATGAAATTTAAGTGTTTTCCAGCCTCTTAATGGAGTATTATGATGTCATTCCCTCAGCGACCTGATATCCCCCTTATTTTGTTTACTAAATTACACATTAATGTCAGTCTTTGTCTTTTATCCCGTTGAACCTGGCTCTGTAATAGTAGCACACCATTTAAACTGTACCTAGGCTTGGTCATTCCACTGATGCGTGCTGAATGCTTGCTGTGTGCTCCGGTTCCGGCTCTGTGAGCCTCTAATAATGTTTTCTCTTGACATTCACTTTGCTGGTCCTTCCACTTTTTTCTTAAGAAAAGAGAGTTTTGAACTCATTCTGTCAACTTCGTCCCAGGGTTCTGCCGAGAAGCCGTTCAGTTTCATTACATACATTAATCATAGTTTTAAACTAAGTGGTTAATAATGGTCATGTTTCAGGAATCTGTTCTTTCTACACTTTTATGTTTCGCTATGCTGTGAAATATTTTCTTATATAGAAACTACAGCCTTCTTCCTGCTTTGTAAAGAGACTGTCGGTTGCTAGTTTTAATACTTGTCACAGTAGGAGAAAACATGATTTTATCCTGAGGTTGCCTGACAGCTCATGGTGCTGTTGGGCTGAAGAATCTGGAAGGAAAAGCCACCTAAGGAAGAGGGTTTGGGAATGGGGACAACAAGAAAAGGAGCTTGTGTAGAACATGTGAACAACAAAGTTATCCATTAAGGCAGTCAGGAGCTATTCTGAGGGATAAAGGTGAGAAATATATTTTTACTGCCTTCATTTTTTTAGGAACAAAGTGTGGCCTTATATAGACACATGGCTGCAGTCCTCATTTGGAACCCTGAGAGAAAAATCTTCCTATAAATGTATTTATAACTGAAGCACACTTTTCAGACTAACACTGAGCAGTGTTGCTCCAGAGCCCTGCACAGGTTGCCTGGCCTGCTTTCTGTGTGAAGGGAAGAAGCCAAGAGCACTACTTAGAATTGTAGTAAGAGTTTGACACTGATTGACCTCATTTTACTCAGAGATTCCAAAAGTACCATTTACATTTTTTTAAAAAAATTGGTAGCTGGGCGGTGGTGGCGCACGCCTTTAACCCCAGCACTCGGGAGGCAGAGGCAGGCCGATCTCTGTGAGTTCGAGGCCAGCCTGGTCTACAAGAGCTAGTTCCAGGACAGGAACCAAAAGCTACGGAGAAACCCTATCTCGAAAAATCAAAAAAAAAAAAAATTGGTGTACCGATGCCTGGGAAACTTAAAAAGAAAAGTTTCCTGTGTTGGTCTCGCCGGTAACCACAGCTGTTGTGAGCACAGTTTGCAGTAGCTGGCCATGTTTGGGAGACACCATTTCATAACACTCTTTCTCAACCTTAGCCCGTCACGATTTTCCCACCTCCTTTTCTGTGATGTTCCCTGCTCCTGGGTAGTAGTGTGGTTAATACAGGTGTCCCATTGAGGGCCGAGTGCTCATCTCTTATTCCCAGCACTGAGAGCAGTTGTGCAACTCTTGAGTAACAAACATTTAAGTGTAGATGTGGTAGAGGGTCTCCAGGCTCTACCTGGAGGAGTCATTGGCAGTGAACAGTAGCTGAGGGAGGGAAGATCATTCTTCTTCAGGAGGTGACCACTGGCAAGTTGCCTGTGCTCCAGGGGATGTCCCCACATCCGTACCCATATGTACAGTACTAACTGACATGACGTTGAGAGTAGTGTGTTGAGACGTGGGGGAATTTGGAGAGGGAAAGGGGGTAGAATGATCACACTTAATTGTTTTCATGGATGAAATTCTCAAAAATAAAGTTTTAAAAAAGTTTTGTCATGTTTATGAAAGTCAAGGTATTCTGGTATTCTTTGCTTGAACTGAACATTTGAATCTTGCTTTGTCCAGGGCGTTGCTGGGAATCCTATGGTGAGATCTGTGCTTGATAAGACCAAGCATTCGGTAGAGAGCATGATCACGACGCTGGACCCCGGCATGGCTCCCTATATCAGTATGTATAGAACTGAGCCCAGTGTCGGCCACGCTTCTAAAGTGTTCGTCAGTTTCACTCACAATTATAGTTTCAGTTCATCTCTGTCATGTAAGTGATAGAAATTCCTCCTGTGCTCTTAATTCAAATTCATTCTCAGCCTGAGTTTTGCCTAACTAATTTATCTTTTGCTTAATCATCATCACATAAGTTTTAGAACTTCATAGTATGAACTTTGGAAAAGGGAAGGAGTAATTTGATTGTGGGTGAACTTTTCTGTGTGTCCCAGCAGCTGCTCCCAAATAACCGTATAAATGCTCAGCTGAGAGCTTAAGCTTGTTACTAACTAGTGTAGCATGAATAATAAAAACCCAGAGACAGTATTGGGATTCAAGCTGAAGATCAGAAAAGCAAAGCGGCTAACCACTGGCTCTTACCTCTACCTCACACTGAAATGGGTGATCCTGCCTCCACAAATCTTCAGACTGAGACTGAGCATGAGACCTGTTTCCTCCCTTCTTATATTCTCTAGTGCTGGGATTAAAGGCATGCACCACCACCACCTGGCTTCTCTGGCTAACTCGTGTGGCTACAGGGATGGAAGGTGTGTGCCACTACTGTCTGGCCTGTATGGCTGACTAATGTGGCTGCTTTGCACTCTGATCTTCAGGCAAGCTTTATTTATTAAAACACAAATGAGGTACCACTATAAACTAGCTCTTACATTTTAAGTTAAACCATATTTCTTAGGGTTAGCTCTTACACTTATAAATTAACCCATATTTTTTATCTACACTCTGCCACGTGGCTTGGTACCTTTGCTCAGCTTCTTCTCTTTGTGTTCTTTTTGTCTGCAAGTTCTGCCTAACCTCTACCTCATGCAGCTATTGGCCAGTCAGCTTCTTTATTAAGCCAGTCATAGTGACATAAATTCACACAGTATAAAGGCATCTTCCACGTTTCCTCCTTTCTGTCTAATTAGAAAGGATGGTTTTAACTTTAACTTAGTAAAATTATATACAACAAAACCAGTTATCAAGTAAGAACTATAATTATAATAGCTAGTTCGTTTGTATTTGGCAAATTTAGAGAAAAATACTGTCTATCTTTCCTTTGTGAGTCTAAGATTTATACCTAATTTACCTTTTTACCATGACTAAGGAAATCTTTTAATTATTTAATCTTTAATTCCTTCAAAGAACCCAGAAGGGTATAATATTACTTAAGGACAGGGACATCTGACTACCTGGACAGTCACCCAAGTTCTTTGTAATATTGGGGCATCGTACATGCCTAGTATATCTGACCGACATTTTTGAGAAACAGGGAGTTTTGAAGGACTGTCCTACCTTGTCTTGCTAAGTTTGGCAGTTGCCCTTTTTGTCCTGCTGGTTCATACTCTCAGAAATTAAGGCAAGGGCAGTTTCTTTTCTCCAAATGATAGCTGTTACCATAAAGAAAACAAACTCCATATGGGTTTTCTTCATTGCCCATCATCCTCTTTTGAAGAAAATTGTTGCTGTCAGGAGCAGATATATTTCACTGTCATGAAAAGCCTTAGGTTATTAAATATATTGAATGCCACATTCTGTAGATCTTTGAAGTGTTTGAAGACCGTTTATATGTCTAAATATATCTGCATATGACCTTGAAAACATACCTACTATGGCTACAAGTGTGATTATTATAGATAACTAACTACTAACTTGTACTTTAATTATACATTACATTTTTTAATGAGTGATATAACCACAATTCCCCAAACAAGAGTAGAAACCACATATACAGTATAACAAAATTAACCTTAAATGTGTGTCATTAAACCAAAATCCATACCAATGTAAACTATTTTGAGATTAATAGTTGTCTTTTGAATTAAAGTAGATTCAATAATCTACCTTTTTAATTTCATCATTTTTATATCATATTGGCCTTTTTTTCCTTTAGAAAGAGATCTTTGAATTTAACTCTTTTTGTCTAGCTTTTTTTTTCCCCCTCTGGGATTAAAGGTGTGAGCCACCACCTCCCATCCAGAAAAATACATGAACTTTTAAAGGTAACATGATGGAGGAAGGTCATTGGTTAAATAAAAAGAAACTGCTTGGCCCTTATTGGTTAGAAGATAGGTGGGAGGAGTAAACAGAACAGAACGCTGGGAGGAAGAGGAAGTGAGCTCAGACTCCACAGCTCTCCTCTCGGGAGCAGACGCCTCAGAGATGCCATGCTCCCAGCTCCCAGGCAGACGCACGCAATGAAGCTCCGACCCAGGATGGACATAGGCTAGAATCTTCCCGGTAAGCGCACCTAGGGGCGCTACACAGATGATTAGAAATGGGCTAAATTCATATGTGAGAATTAGCCTAGAAGAGGCTAGATAGAAATGGGCCAAGCAGTGATTAAATGAATACAGTTTGTGTGTTGTTATTTCAGGCATAAGCTAGCCAGGCAGCCGGGGTGCTGGGGACGCAGCCCCGCCGCCCTTATTACTACAGTAACATACATATCTGTATTAATACAAATATAGATTGTGTTGTACACAAGTTAGTCAAAGATGATTTTTTGTTTTAGTTTGAGCGGATAAAATATAGTTTATGTGTTTTGTAGGTTTTTTTTAAGGTTTACTTTATGTTTGTAGCCAGGATTTTCAGGGGATCTTCCCAGATCAAACCTGATCCGTATCAACTTGGAACGAGTTCACAGCCTCTACCCCAAAGCAACACACTTTTTACTTCCATTTTGAAGTCAAGATATTTTTAAAATATATAGGTTGGTTTAATCCAGCAGTTTCCATAATGCGGTGTGTCTTAGCAGTTGTCATTCATTCATCAGCAGTCAGAAAATTCAAAGACAACAATAACATACAGGATCCAGACTCCCCATGTATTTTCCATCTTTGCCTGCATTTTTACCATTATGTTACTTTATTCCTTCTTTGAATATTTTATTATTTTTAAACTATTTTTTCTATGACTATCTATATCATTTCTCTTTGTCTCATGAGCTTATGTATATATTGACACATTGTAGCCCATTTAGGTTTTTTTTTCCATCTGTATCTGTCTTCACTTCCTGTCTGTAATCTTTTGTTTGCATGATAAAACTTAAACATGCTATGTGGTTTGTTCATGGCGTGCTGGCAGGGCTCACTCTGTCAGTGCTCTCGGCTAGTATGAAAGACTTGAGAGTAGGAGGCCACATGTGGCTTCATTTTTGTGTGTTTAGAATCTTTGTGAAGCTTTCTCAGGTCTTAGGTGGATGTAGGTATCAGATGTTTGGGCACCATTCGTAGGTGGACTTTTCTGTGTGTTCCAGCAGCTGCTCCCAACAGAGACTTAATATTAATTATATATGCTCAGCTGATACCGTAAGCTTTTTACTAACTGGCTCTTACATTATAAATTAATCCACATTTCTTATCTGTGCTCTGCCATGTGGCTTGGTACCTTTTCTTAGTATGGCAAGTTCATGGTCTCAAAAATCAGCAAAATACAAACAAATGTAAAAACCCAAAGAATTCTTTATGTTTGTAACCATCCAAAGGACTCATAAATTTGACTTTACTCCATGTATTTATTTTCATATTTACATATCCATACCAATCTAGTTGGAGATAATAATTATATATTTCTTTACTTCTTGTGTATATCTTTGACATTATGAAATGAGCATTTTTGGAGCTCTTGCTGTTCCATTGGGCATACTATATTAGAAGTCAGTTCTTAGAGCAAGACCACGGAGATGGCAGGTGTTTTCCTACAAAGAAACCAGCCCTGTCTTCCTCAGGTAATAAAGCTGGTTAATGAGAAAGCATAGAATTCAGCTGTTGAACTCCCCTACTGGTACCCTCTCCTAAGGTTGTTTGACTGTAGAGGACTGTGCTTCAGACAGAGTTAATGAGTTCTGGAGTGTTCATAGAATACTGAAGAACTGTGCTCCGGTTACCACAGGTGACTTGGAGCCAGTAGGAGGTGTGTGCCAGCTTCGGCTTGTGAGAGAGACTGCAGAGAATGTGCTGAATTCCCATCCTTAAAATGCAAGGGAAGTTGGTAGTTTGATCAGAAGATGTGATAAAAAGAGGATTTGTGTCTGACCTGGGTTTTAGTCCTGACAATAGTGCTTAGCTGTGTTATGGTAGGTAAGGTTCTGTCAGCCTAGCTCACATGTGTGAGGCTGGTAACAGTAAATACAGTGTAAGCTTATGATATGGTAGTAATTACCAGAAAGTTACTGTTAAATTTGGAATTGAAGTTCCTTTTGGTTCCTGTAGAATCTGGAGGTGAATTGGATATTGTTGTAACCTCAAATAAAGAAGTGAAAGTGGCTGCTGTCCGAGATGCCTTCCAGGAAGTCTTTGGCTTAGCTGTGGTTGTGGGGGAAGCTGGACAGTCCAATATCGCCCCACAGCCAGTAGGCTATGCAGCTGGATTAAAGGTGAGTGTGACAGCTTTTCCAGAGTTTGCCCATAATTGTGATAAGGATCCTGTGGTCTGTGGGGAACTACTGCAGATTTATATTCTGAAGTGCTAGCTTTATCCTTAGTTAGTCAACACTGTAAATGCTATGAGGGATATAAAGGAGTTTTAATTAAATAAGTCTCAATTAGGTTTTGATTATTGGAGGAGGATGGCAGTTTCATTAAGAAAGAACAAAAAGAATAGATCTTGAAAGGAATCTTTGTAACTTAGTATTGCCTTTCAAGTCAGTTAATGAAATTATAATATCTGTTTGGTCCCAGTAGACACACACACATACACACACTACTCTCTGTCACATTGTTACAAAGACACAATCATTCAAGAACAAATGAAGTTGATGGCATCCAAACATTTTCCTATCCTAAAGCAGGGGAAGGGAAATCCCAACAGATTCTTTGGCCTCACTTCCCCTGTATTGTTCTGTGACCTCATTTCCCCTGTATTGATCTGTGACCTCACTTCCCCTGTGTGGTTCTGTGACCTCACTTCCCCTGTATTGATCTGTGACCTCACTTCCCCTGTGTGGTTCTGTGACCTCACTTCCCCTGTATTGTTCTGTGACCTCACTTCCTGTGTGGTTCTGTGACCTCACTTCCCCTGTATTGATCTGTGACCTCACTTCCCCTGTGTGGTTCTGTGACCTCATTTCCCCTGTGTGGTTCTGTGACCTCACTTCCCCTGTGTGGTTCTGTGACCTCATTTCCCCTGTATTGTTCTGTGACCTCACTTCCCCTGTATTGTTCTGTGACCTCACTTCCCCTGTATTGTTCTGTGACCTCATTTCCCCTGTATTGATCTGTGACCTCACTTCCCCTGTATTGTTCTGTGACCTCACTTTCCCTGTGTGGTTCTGTGACCTCACTTCCTCTCTGTGGTTCTGTGACCTCACTTCCCCTGTATCAGTTTATCATGCTTGCTTCCTTCTGCAGTAAAAATTCCTGTAAGAATTTTGAATATTTTTCTCCAATTCTCTGTTGGGTTTCCAGTTGGCTAGCCCCACTTCTTCACTTCCTGTCATAATCAGAGTGCACTTAAAGCCCACCAATAATAGGCTCGCTGTGTATTTGGTTGGTCAGGAACTGTTGAGCCAGGTGGTCATCTTCTCTGTTGTTTCAATAGAGTTTTGGATAGCCAGGCTGGCCTCAGACTTGCTTTGAGGCCAACACTGGCCTTGAACTCCTGATTCTACTTCTACCTCCTGAGTTCTGGAATTATAGGCCTGCAGCACCATGCCTGACTTTTACTTCAGTCTGTTTGTCTCCCTGTGGCTTTTGGGTGCACATCTTGCTTTTCTCTCTAGCTTCCTCTTGGACTCTGTCTCCATACAGTTCCTTTGCTGACCTCATGTCGTCCCTGGCCTTAGCCAGCATCTTATGCTGTCGCTTGCAGCATCATATAACTGCTAAGACTGCTTGTGAATTTTGAATTTATGTAAAAGTTGCCTCTTTGACAACTCTACTTGAATATCCCAAGCTCAGTACGTCTAAAACAAAACTTTTCCTTTTTCTTATATGTAGTCTCAGTCTTTGGCAGTTCTGCCCTTCCATTTTCTTATATGAGAAAGCTTGACACCAGTTGTAGAGTCTCCTCTTGTTTCTATTCCATCATTCTATCTTGTTTGCAAGACAGACTATAGTTTGCTGTAGTTTTTCTCTATGAGGTTGCTGTACATCATACTAGTCATTATGGTACTCTTGCTGTGAAGGGAAAAGGGATTAGGTCACTGTGGGCCTCTGGCCACAGTGTTTTTGGCCAGGCTGTCAACATAGAAGTTTTGTTGTTGTTGTTGTTTGTTTGTTTAATGTTTGATTCTGTTTAGATACAGCTCTATATGTGCAAATAGATGCTGGTATGTATATACATTATAATAAAGTCATAGCCAGCAGTCCTGTAACCCCTGTTGGGATGCAGTTTATTTAGCACACACGTTTTCCTCCTAAAGTATTTCAGAGCCCTCCTAAGCTGAGCCTCAGATAGCACTTCATTATTACACATGGGACCATTTGGAATGGTAGTAACTTTTTATTAGGATTTTTTTTAATATTACAATCTTTTCTCATTTTACATAGCTTACCACTTACTCCCCTTCTCCCACACCCCACCTCCCTATCCACTCCTCTAAAAGGATATGACTTGCCTTGGGGAGTCAACAAAGTCTAATACTTCACTTCGAGGTAAGACCAAGGCTCTCCCCCTATATCTAGGCTGAGCAAGGTATTCCTCCAAAAACAATGTGCTCCTAGATGTCAGTTCAAGCACTAGGGATAAGTCCTGGTCCCACTGCCAGTGGCCCCACAGACTGCCCAAGCCTCACAACTGTCCCCCACATTCAGTGGGCCTAATTTGGTCTTATACAGGTTTGCCCACTATCAGTCCAGAGTCAGTGAGTGTTGACTAAGGTTTCTGTTCTGCCCAGTTCCACAGCCATCAGTCCCAAAGAAATACACAGAGGTCTACATTAATTATAAACTGGTTGGCCTAGTAACTCAGGCTTCTTATTAATTAATTCTTACATCTTACATTAACCCATTATTCTTGTGGGTGTTAGCCATGTGGCTTGGTACCTTTGTCAGAGAGGGATTCTCATCTTGCTTCCTCTGCGACTGGTAACAACTGCAGACTGAATCTTTCCTCTTCCCAGAATTCTCCTGTTTTCCTCACCCCACCTATACTTCCTGCCTGGTTGCCCCGCCTATACTTCCTGCCTGGCTACTGGCCAATCAGTGTTTATCAAAAATAATACAAGTGACAGGATAAAAGACCATTGTCCCACAGTACTCCCCCCTTTAAAAAAACAAACAAACAAACAAGAACTCTGAACCTAATATCCTTTGTTTACCTTTTCTCCTGACCATTATCCATAACAACTTGTAACCAACATTCTAAACAAAGGCAAACATCCATAATTCAGAGTTTTTGGGGGAGGGGGGATGTGGGCATAGTTTTCCAGGCTACTTCATGCTGACTGAGGGCACTGGTAATCTTATGGGGACCTAAAGAAAATTTAGAATTATGATCAAGTCCTGACTGGAGTATACTGTGGGGCTTGATCATCTCAGCTAGCAGTCTTGAAACTGTTCTGGATGTAGAACTCAGACATCTAGGCCTCTATTCCTACCAGAGATTTCTCAGGGGATCTTCCTTGGTCAAACCTTTTTGAGACTAGGTTTCTCTGTGTATCTTTGGCTGTTCTGGCAATCACTCTGTAGACCCGGCTGTCCTTGAACTCAGAGAGATATGCCTGCCTTCCAAGTGTTGGGATTAAAGGTGAGTGTATTGTATTCAATACCTGCATGTACTGTATAGCTAAGAATAGTATATTTAAGATTAATACTGTATTAAAAACTGGTTGACAACCTGCGCTGCTTTTGCTCTAGGGCGCCCAGGAACGCATAGACAGCCTGCGGAGGACTGGCGCAATCCACGAGAAGCAGACTGCTGTGTCAGTGGAAAACTTCATCGCTGAGCTGCTGCCCGACAAGTAAGAGGCGCAGGGCACCCTGGGAATCAACACAGCCGTGTCTGGAGTCTCTAGGTCCTCACATGGAACACCTAGAGAAGGTGCCTCCTGTTTTGAGCCAGAGTGGGAAGTCTGCTCCAATAGTGGGACTGTCCCGTGCTTAGCTGGCTCTCTGTCCTTACTTCTCTCTTGTAACTGAGCAGTGCAGAGCGATGCCTGCCTCTCAAGCTGTGCTGACAACCACTTGATACGTTAGGACTGAATGTAGGAAACACGCTACGCGTCAGCCTGGCCAGGTCTAATAGAGCCCTGGGAGTAAGCACACTGCTCCCATGTGACTCACAGTGGTGGAAGATGGGCAGGAAGACGTGATGGTACACACAGGCTGGAGATGCATAGTATTGTGTGCGTAGCTTTACAACGCCTCTGGAAGCACAGTTCAGCATTGTTCTTGAGGGCTCTATGTCTCTATGTTTTTAATAGATTTTTTTTTTCCCATGGGAAAGCCTGTTTGGATATGCTGAGTTACTTTTTAATAAACAGCCGTGCTTTGGTGAATTCTAATTTCATTTATTATCTCATGGTGTTGTGTTAATTTTTTGTTTACTTGTTGCCTAGTATTTTGTAACCATAATTTGCAAAATGTGGCCTCTACTGAGCTGGAAACATCTGCCAGGGAGAGCAGTCAGCTAAAGGGGAAATCATCTCGAAATGTGCTTGCCAGGTAAAAGAAGTAGAACCATATAGACCTGGTTAGCGCTCTTCAGATACTGTTGTTCGTTCATGCAGAGTTGGAAAAATTAGCCTGTTGTCTTCTTCCACGTTAGAATAATGCCAGTGTAAGTATTCTGAGATGAACAGGTCTAGACTTTGGTGTTAGTTTTAGACATGTTAAGTGCACAAAAATGTTATTACAATGTGTTAAGCATCAACTTCATTGTGGCTTGACTGGTGATGGTAGGCGGTCTCTTTGTGGCTTCTGAATCTAGTGTGAACCATTCTCTGCGCTGGGAAATATTTGGGACCACAGTCCATCACGTTCTTCTCACCTTGTCTTATACACGGGAAGAAAAGATGGAGATCCCTAGTAACCAAAAGTGATCAGCTGAGATTCTCCCCACCCCTGGCCCCAGTTGTGATCCTGTTAAAGGACTTTATGAAGAAGAGGGAAATCTGAAAGTTCCCTTAGCCGGCAGGGCGAGGGACCGAAATGGAAGGGCGCTGGGCACGTGGCAGGGATTGCAGGTTCACAGAGGGGATGGGAAAGCAGGTTCCCAGTTGCAGTGTCTGGTGGAGGTGGTGCTTTTTAGAGGTTGACTGGACTTCTGATGTGTGTGGCTTAGAGACTGCTGGGCTTGTAGGGCAGCTTCTCAGGACACAAAGGTGCAGTCTCCACTTGGGTCAGTGCAGTATCCGGATGGACACTGCCCACAGCAGGCAGAACGAGGCAAAACAAGGTATAGCTGAGCTTGGCTGCACTTTCTTGAATGAGACTTTGTTAAAACAAAATATGAGATTTTGATTAGTAGTCAAGTGGAATAAATATTATTTAGTACTCATGAGTTGAAATGTTTTTAAGATGTGAATATTGAGACATTTCAAAGTATCACTTTAATATTCTGTGGAGTTGCCTATGCTGCCTTGCGTCTTATTTCGTGTTTTTTTTAAACGTGTTATTTCCTTATTCATTTTGTGGTTCTTTGTGCTTTTAAAAATCTACTTATTTTTTAAAAGATGGAGTCATTGAACAAACATAACCTTGTCCATGCGCCCTTGGTGCTTATAGTCAGGGTTGTTTCAGATTTCTGGGAGCTAGAATTCTGATGCTATCCCAGTTATCATAAGTGTGTTCCTGGTGCCTTGGGTTTTATAATCTATGGTTAAGTATCTGTCATGAGTGTGCTTTCAAAGGCTGGCTCCTGGCTACAGCTGGGACTGGAAGGTTTCACGTTCATGAGGCTCAAGCACACAGTTGTTTCCTCTGAACGAGTTTATTTCCTGATTTAGTAACATTGTTAGATGGTTGCATGCTGGTGAGAGTTGGTATTACAAATTTCCCCATATTTTAGCAAGTATCATTTAAAAATATTACCCGCAAGAGGCTCTTTGCATATTCTGGTAAGTCAGCTGTGTATTTGAGAACCCCCATTCCCGTCATCCCCCACCTTAGTTCTGTTTCCTTTTTTGTTACTCTCTTTCTACCTTCTTGAAATTAAGACAATAAAGTAATTTTAGTTTTACATTTATGGCTTGTCCATGTGCAAACTAATTAGACATTTTCTTTCTGGGAACTGTGGTACTTTAGTCTGAACAGTGAGAGGGAACTTGCTTTGCCATTTTGTATCTCCACTCTCATTTTATCTAGCGTGTGAACAGGGTGCTGCCCCCGTCCACTCTCATTTTATCTAGCGTGTGAACAGGGGGCGGCTTCCGTTTCTCTTCCAGGTGGTTTGACATCGGCTGCTTGGTGGTTGAAGACCCGGTGCATGGCATCCGCCTGGAAGCCTTTACTCAAGCCACACCGGTGCCTTTGGAGTTTGTGCAGCAGGTTAGTTTCTTTGCCTTTTCATGACACTCCATATTTATTGTGAGGGTTATGCCCTTGATTCTTTGTCTTTCCATGACACTCCACATTTATTGTGAGGGTTATGCCCTTGATTCTTTGTCTTTTGCTGTGCTTGTCGGTTTTCTATTGTACCATGTTGTTATTCTCCATTTTTTATGTTCATGGCCCCGGAATCAGAAGAAAACTGGCCTTCATCCATACCAGACAGCTACAATGAGTTAGTTGTTGCCCCCCTTTTACACTTATTTGGAATGTATGGACATTTGATGGTATGGGAAGACATTTGATGTTCTCTGAGAAAATATCTGTGCAGTTACATTTCAGTTTAATGTGTAGCCATAAAATTGCTAAAGTTGCTTAGTGGTCCTTCCTATGTTTGCAGTGTGGAAAGATGCTTAAAGTTTTGATGTTCTTTGAAGCTTATTTGCTCCTAAGTTCTCTTCAGAAGGTCGCGCACTCACGTGAGGACAGTTAGAGGCTTTAAGCTGATGCTGTGCATATTAGTATTATATTAATTATATATTAATATAATATATGATATTAATATTAGCATATTGTTATGCTAATGAAACTTAAAATGGCCATAACATGACAGGTTTTCTAGGAAGATGGAAGTTTTACCACTGTTGATTCAAAAGTATTAGATTGAGCCTTGTAGAATTGCTGTCTTTAATAGTCTAGGAGTCACTGCCATAATTCATGTGACTTAGCCTAACCACTTCCATTAGCCCGACAGGGAAAGGGCACCACCCAGCAATAAAACACTGATTAATGCCTTGAGCGAGATCTGCACACGGTTCTTGATGCTCACAGTGGGACTTGTGTGGTGTGTGAGCAGCAGGCTCCCATGGATTCCATGGTGTGTGAGCAGCAGGCTCCCATGAATTCCATGGTGTGTGAGGAGCAGGCTCCCATGGATTCTGTGGTGTGTGAGGAGCAGGCTCTCAGGATCTTTGAAGACCTGCTGTCTCTCTTTGGAGCACACTGCAGTGCTGGTAGTGCAGAGCATGGCACTGTCTCTTTCAGGGTTGGTGGGAAGCTATTTGATGTAACTCTTGACTATTTGTCTTGTAATCATCTGTAGTGTTTCCAAATTGAGCCTAAGAAATTGTTTTTGTTTTTGTTGTTGGTTTCATTTCGTTTTGTTTTTGAGGTAAAGGGAAGCCCGTGGGGTGATTATGAAGCAGGTAGTGAGGCATGCGTGCCGAGCGCAGGTCCATGCTGCCTGCAGATATTCTCTGGACTCTAAACCAGCCCCGGCTGTTAAACCCTTGAATCTGTTTGCCGTTCACTTCTGTGTGAGAAGTGGTGTTCATACAGGCTGGGTAAAGGTGGGGAGCGACAGTGCTGGTGGCTGCTGACCTGGCCTGCGTGCCTTTTGCGAGCTGCTGACTCGTATTATCCGTATCTGCAGACACTGTCTAGGAACTACTAAATCCTTTCTTAAATGCGCTAAAGACTCAACATGTAGTCTCTCTCTGCTTGGAATTCTGTGGCTCTAAGAACATGATTTTAGCAGAAACCTGTTAATAATGTGAAGTGACCCTGAACGTCGAACTAGAGCTTAAGCCCTCAGCATGAGCTGTGAGAAGCTGGGGTTCTCACTGGATGTGCACTCAGCCCTCTGAAAATGTAAATTGTGAGGAGATTAGATTCTGTGTGACCCGTGAGTGTGCTGGGCTCATTAACACAGTAGGCGTGTGCAGTCACCCTTGTAACCATACTCTTGAGGGTTTGTCATAATCTGTATTAAAATAAGCAGAGTCGAGGCACCAAGGAGTCTTCTGTAACATAGCGAGTTCCAATGCTGTTTCAGTGTGTGACAAGTAACTCACCTTCCTTTTTCCGTAGGCGCAAAGCCTGACTCCCCAGGACTACAATCTGAGGTGGTCAGGCCTTTTGGTGACAGTGGGGGAAGTCCTGGAAAAGAGCTTGGTAAACGTCAGCCGGACTGATTGGCACCTTGCTTTCACTGGCATGTCTCGCCGACAGATGATCTACAGCGCAGCCAAGGCTCTGGCGGGCATGTATAAGCAGCGCCTGCCACCCAGGCCCATGTGAGACCAGCTGCTGGGAAATGGAGACCTGCCGTCACCCTTGGCTCTGTGCTAGAGGAGACTGGATAGTTCCAGAGAATCCAACAGTTTTTACAATTGTCCTTTTAAAAGAATAAACAATTAAATAAAGGCACAGTGTCATTCCAGTAAAACAGAAGAAGTAGATCCTCTTTCCACTGTCATGATTTCATACGTCCTAGTTCCCCCAAAATATACACACATATTTACAGCACAATTCAGTATACCAAATTTATAACGCGGAAATCCATGCTCACAAATGGATGATTGTTCTTGGCTCTTCTGGTTTCTTAAGAACATGTCTGTGTTACCTGCCCTGTTAACCCTGTTGTCATCTGTGTGTGCACATGCTCAACAACCAACCTGACATGCTTGCTGGGGCATGGGGTTGTGCACAGTTCCTTGTGTTTTATAGAATATGGGCCACATTAACAGAATGGATAGTTTTTGTCATGTATGTATAGTTTAGAAGTTAGACTTGTTTCCTTTTTGTTTTAAACTTTGGCATTTTGCAGATCCATAACTATGAACATCAGAAAATAACGTTTTATTTTTCTTCATTTCTATGTGAGAACTAAAGGGCAGATCATTCAAATCTATTTTAGATAAGATATGTATTTGTGGTTTTATTGTTGTTGTTATTGAGATTTTTTTTTAAAAAAAAATTTGTGTATTGATGTTTTACTTGTATGTCTATATACCATGTGCACAGTGACCAGGGAGGCCAGAAGAGGTCATCAGACCCTGAAACTGGAGTCACAGATGGTTGTGAGCAACCATATCGGTGCTGGGAATCGAACCTGGTTCTTCTAGAAGAGCAATCAATGTCCTTAACCCCTGAACCATCTCTCCAGCCCTTGTGTCATTTGTGGAAGTTGGCTGTCATGACAGCTGTTCCTCCTGCATCTACTCACCGTCTCCAGACTCTAAGAGGGGATCCCCTTCTCTTGGGATGGTATGTGTTTTCTTTAGTGAAAGTTCCTCTTTTTATTATTTGAGAAGTTCATGAAGTGTGTTCTGATAACACTTGTCTCCCACCCCTTCCCCTCCATGTTCCCCTTCTTGTCCTCTTTACCGAGTCCAGTTTGTATTGCCCAAATAGGTGTTAGGCTGTCAACCAGTTGACCTATGAGGGACTACACCCTTGAAAACTGACTATCCCTCAGAACTCATCAACTGTCAATAGCTCCCCAGTTTGGGGGCGGGATTCATGGGCTCACCCATGCTGGATGTTGATCAACTGGACCTTGTGGATGTCTAAGGTTGTTTCTTGGTTTGCCTTAAGCACAGCTTGACTTTTCTGACTGTGCCCATCTGCCTTTATTTCTTATGGATGTTTTCAAGGGAATGATTTTATATTCGATGTAGTTTATTTAATCCATTGCATTTAACGAATGCTTTTTTCTCCCTGAAATAATATATTTTACCATTTGGGGATTTACTTAAGTCAAAATTAAGTAAAAAATTTTCTTACATAGTTAAACTCTATATATGCAATTCAGATATTTTCGTGAAGATAATTTGGTACTGAAATGTAATTTTACTTTCTTTTCCTTGTTGATACAGTTCTGTAGATGCCAGAGTTAGTCGATTCTACACTCATCCTCTGTCCTTCCATGTACAGTGTGCTGTGCCATAGTGCTTTCCAGTAATGACATCATACTTTTCCAGAAGGAGAATTATTACTTTTGAGGTGGGTGTTTGTTAATCCCCAAGCACTGTGTGTGGTGCTTAGTTAGACAGGAAGGAATTCTGTGGCTGTGGTGATGGGCCTGGCCAGAGTAAATTGGCCACAGTGCCTCTCAATGCTTCTTCGTGCACAAGAAACTGGGGTCTTTCTTTACCACTTGCTGCTGTGCTGTTTTTAAGAACTGTCCTTTGGGTCGGGGGATGTAGGCCATGATGGAACACTAGCTGATGTCAGGCCCTAGGGTCAATCCCTGGAAAAAACACATACACACACACACACACACACACACACACACACACCAGGGGGAACTGTCTTGTCTAGCAGCATTTGATGGGGCATTGCCTGGGTAATAGTATTTTATTATTCTCCAAAGGCAAGTTTTACAGACCCTAAAGGTACCCTGTTTTTCTCTTGTCTGGTTGAGTCTGCATTACCTTAGTTACTGTTTCAGAGGATCGTTCCAGTAGAATCACTGGAGTCACTGACATCTCATTGGGTGATGGTTTCCTTGAGTCCTAATTAACAGTGGCAGACTTATGCCATGGTTTGGCTGAAACTGGATAATTGTCGTTACCTAGTCTGCCTACTGTGAGGAAGGGAGGAGGAGGAGTGACGGGCTGATGGAAGAGAGAACTATTTGATCCAGTCTGATCTCTCTGTAGACAGGTTCTCTGGCCTAGAATTCTCTTTGGAGGATGTCAGAGCAGGCTGACTCTACCGGCTTGTTTCCCTGACCCTTGTTTTCTGAGGATTCTTCTGCTCAATCTGCCTGGTGACATTTAGACCTGAGCGGTCCAAAACCCTGGTTTCCTTCCCGGCCCTTCTGTTCCTGTGCCCTTTTCTCCTGCCTGTTTTTGTGTCCCTTCCACACTGGCATTTTTAGCGAGTTTGTGGTGGTGGTTGTATTTATCAGTAGGAAAATAAAATTTAAGATCAGCCTTACAAGACTGTTCAACTATTTAGTTCCAAGGATTCAGTTTTTGTTGCTTTCCTTGTTTTCCCCTAGCGTGGTTTATTTATAACAATGCCAGGCAGAGCCTCATTTACTCTGGGCAAGCGTTCTCCTGAAGGGCCACAGCCCCAGGTCCCTCCTCAGATTTGAGGCAACTCTGGACAGAAACTGTATCAAGGACTCTGAAGTTGGAAACATTTTAGAAGCTGGAAGTTTTTTCTACTGATTTTTGTGTTGTTTTTCATTCTTCCTTCCTCAATCTTTAGAGATAAGATGCTGCCATCTTAAGTGTAGGCAGGTAAGAAAACAAATGAAAGCACACACTACACCTGTTCTGAATTATGCAAATTAGCAGTTACTCAGGGTCAACTCAATACTTCAGCCTGCCCTTTAGTTTACTCTTGTTATTTGGCAAAAAGAAGAAAAAAAATCAAAACTACACCAAAACTAAGGACAGTGATTTGTGAAGCCAAATTGATAATCTGTTGTAAAAGTTGTTGAGTTAAACATAAATTATTATGAAATGTAGATTTTTTTTCCTAGGATATTGTATTCATTTTGTGATATTATGTAGAGTGATATATTGGATAAAATCAATTTTGTAAGTATGTAAATATGTCAAAAATAAATACTTTGACTTCTCAAAGGTGTGCAGTGATTTAAATGCTAATTTGCATTAGTATATTAGAAGGTGTGCAGTGATTTAAATGCTAATTTGCATTAGTATATTAGAAGGCCGCACACTCCTTTTTGACTCTAAATTGGTTACCAGCTTCCACACATGACCAGATCTTAAGCTCCTTTTTTTCTGGAGAATTTTAACATTCAGATGCGCCAACCTCCAACTTGGAGGCTGGAGAACTCAGTATAGAGAGAAGACCTGTGGGAGAGACAGGAAGTGATGGGAAGCCAGGGGTTCATGAAAAGCCCCAGTGCCTCAGCAGAACTTCTCCTTTCTCTCCATACCTGTCCTTTTTATTTTATTTTATTTTATTTCTATTTTTTGTAATTGTTTTAGGATCAGCAATATTAATTGGGGAGAAAGGTACAGGGTTTTGAATTTCACCCATCTCCACAAGTCTTTTATCCATTAAGTTCATTTTCTGTTGGCCGTCTCCTGCTGGGTTGGCCCGTAAGTGTGGTTTGTGTACCCAGTGGGACTCCATTGGAGAAAACCAATTTTCCCTTTGCGAGCAGTTTCTGGGGCAGTAGAAGGGTCTTAAAAGTTTTTACATATGTCTAAGAAATCTAAATGGACTCACCAAATAACTGGGGAGACCAAGCCCCAATTAGACATCTCTCATCACCAAATGAAGTATCCATTGTCAGGAATGGATTACATCTGATCGAGTTGTTGACTAAAGAGGTCCCATGGGAACCTGCAAGCGACCCAGACAATTGTCAAGGCGGTGGCTCTACACAAATTGGTGGTAAGGCTCTATTCCTAATGACATCTGTGTAGCTGAACGCATGGAAGGTGGTCCGGCGCTTTCCTAGAGCCTTCACCCCTACTGATTAATATTGACAACTAATCTCACCTTCTTGGCTCCTCTGTGCCCCTTTCAACCTCAAGACAGTGAATTGTCCAGCCAGGCATTGCACCCTGAATCTGACGCTGTGGAAGAGGGTAGTGTGTGTGTTGTGGATAGATAAGTGTGTTGGAATCAGGTGCTTCGGAAGCACGATGAGAAAGTAGCCCTTCACTTATACACTTTTTTCCCCAACTGACTTGGCTCTGGTGCATGTATAGGAGGTAAGAGGAAAAAAATGATGAAATGACCTATTAATAAAAACCACACTTTGCCCATGCTTTTTATATGAAACCGAGGCATGGTAGACATGTTTCTTTGAAGTAATACTTGACCATCGAATAACCTTCCATTAGTTAGAAAGAAGGCATTAGTTAATGTCAAATGCAGATGGAAATGTATGTGTGTATAAGGGCTGTGGAGAAAAGAGGAGATCTGTTCAATGTGAGCTCAGAGCTAGACTTTCTGGCCCTTATTTTTGCAGGAAGATTAAATCCTCTTTGCCATGTACGTGTGTATATTGTATATGAGATGGACGGACAGATAGGTGGATAGGTATAGGTATACAATAGCTAGCTAAATGGCCCTGCCTCCTCTCACCAGCTGCAGCACTGGGCAGAGTGGCCCCAACACCTTGCCTAGGCAACACAGCAGAGCTTGCCCTGGTGATGTAGGTGTGGGCAATCAGAGGCTAGGAGAGCAGGAGAAACAGCTCTGCCCCTTGCTGCTCACTAGCGTGAGCTAGCCTAGCCAGGGTAGTGCTGGGGGCTCATCTTGGTGTTGAAGATGAGGGAAAACTGGGGGACTGACCAACCCATCAACCACCAGACCCAGAACTAACCAACCTATAAACCACCCAGACCCAGAGCTAGGTCTACGAGTTGACCTATCCCATCTATGATCTGCTGGAGCACATGAAGGGACCAGCCCTGCAGACCCA